TTCTTTTTGTTATATTTTTTGGCCTTTCCTTTGGTTATATTTTCGAACATTAAAAAATGAGCAGTTGCCGCCTTCGATCCTAAAACCCTCCTCTCAGGGCCTCTCAACCAGAACTTTTTGATTTGCCCAACCTTCGCCAGTCTTCTCATTTAAAGGTTGCAGAGGGTTCAGAGATTGAAGTGAATCCATCGCATACATGTTGTGATCGATCCACCTGCGCGTGCCAATGGCTGGAGACGTGAGCAAAAACGACCGCAATGTCATCGTTTGTGCGCCGGAGGCCTCCGGTAGCGGAAGAGCGGAGCCGCAATACGTCTCAGCGAAGATCTCTGTGTGGTGGGACATTGAGAACTGCCAAGTTCCAAAGGGCTGCGACCCTCACGCCATTGCTCAAAATATTAGTTCTGCACTCGTCAATATGAACTATCGTGGTCCCGTCTCCATCTCCGCCTACGGCGACACAAGTCGGATCCCATCCTTCGTTCAGAAAGCACTTTCTAGCACCGGGATTTCTCTTAACCACATTCCAACTGGTATTCATTTCCTTCTATTCTCAACTCTTCTTTCTTGTACCTTTTTACCCTGCCGCCCGCAGCATGCTTTTATTGCTGTAAAGCTCGGGACAAATACCTAATATGTGCTATTTGTGGATATCGGTTTCATTGCCATTACTTGCGTTGAGTTTTTAGATTTTTTTTTTCCCGCTATTTGTCTTTCCCTTCTCATCCGTGAATTTGAATAGACCAATGTTTATATGGCCACAAAAATGTTGTCACCGTGGAATCTACAATCCCTCAGCACCATTTTTTCAAAGAAGTATAATGTTCCTGTTATTTGTGATATGTAGCATTCACTGTCCACATATTGGTATTCCCATCTTCCCATGTTATAAGGGCATTGGTTTAGTCAAAGAGTTTTGACATAAGTGCTGCTTTTGTATGGTCTGGTAATGTAACCATTCAAGCATGAAGGTAATCGCTTAAGTATGATGAAGATGGCAAAGCTGCATATGTTTTTGGTGTTAATATGACGTTGTGAAGTTGTTACAGGTGTGAAAGATGCCAGTGATAAGAAAATTCTAGTTGACATGTTGTTATGGGCGGTAGACAACCCTGCTCCCGCAAATTATTTGCTAATTTCTGGAGACAGGGATTTCTCTAATGCTCTGCATCAGTTGCGCCTGAGAAAATACAACATTCTTCTAGCACAACCACCGAAAGCATCAGCTCCTCTAGTTGCAGCAGCAAAATGTGTTTGGCTCTGGACGAGCCTTTTATCTGGAGGAGCCCCACTATCAAGTGGCGAATCATCCTGCCTTGCAAGCGGTAACTATGTCTCTCATTTTGAGAGGATGGAAAACCCGGTTGTTGAGCCAAATCAAATGAGTCAGCCACTGGTTCTCAATTCTGAAAACCTTGACATGGGCAGTCAAAATAACCGTACTACTAGAAGCGTTGGTGATTTGAAACACAAAGTAAAATATGTTTTGAAAGCTGACAATCAACCCAATCTATCAAGCTCTTCAAGCTTACCTGTTACAGTTTCAGAGGGTAAGAACAATGATCCTCTTAAACTAGCACAGTCACCGGTGAAGCTGTTCCGAAAAGCTCCACACGAATTCTTTGTTAGTAGCAATCCCGTAGTCCCAAACGGTAGGTTTACTCCTAACTTTCCAAGCAACCAAGATGGCTCAGAAAATAAAAGGAGCAACTCTAATGAAATTTCCCAGGATCTCTATCATGGTTCTTTGAGGTCAAACAACCTTCATATACAACCCGTGTCTGGACCGAATTTGCCTCTTCCTGACTCCCATGCTCGAACATTTCAACCCGTTCCTTCTTATTCAGCTGGATCTAAATTGTCTACGGCCCCAAATTCATTTCATGATATACCTAAGCCACATGATTCTCCATATCCTAACAATGTCAAAAGTACTCTTTCTCATCAGCGAACCAGAGAAGATTCTAATCCAAGCACTACTCAATCTCCTAATCTACATAGCTTCCATGCACCCCCAGCAGGCTACGACCCACCATGTGTCCAAGCATTTCATTGTGAGAATTTGAACCTGAGGCATCCTCGTGGTTCCAAACATATGCCTACTCCCTCCGTCACTGGAATTGCCAATACCAGTTCTAAGAATATTACCTTGGGAGTTGAGGGATTTCCACCACCTTCTGAGTATGAGCGAGGCCTCGTGGGTGCTATTCTACTAGCCTTAAACACTCTGAAGGTTGAAAAGATTATGCCAACTGAAGCAAATATAACTGATTGCATTTCGTATGGAGATTCGAAATATCGAACCACTGATGTCAAGAAGGCTTTAGATTGTGCAATCAAGCTAAATGCGGTAATAAAACAGAGACTAGGTGCATTAAATTTTTATGTTGGTAGAAACGAGAAACTATGGAATTGTGTAAACATTATATGTGGAAATGTTAGTCAGTATCCAAATACAACGTGGGATCGAATACAAGAGTTCCTTGCTTCATCATCTGGACGATCAGCAATGTTGTCTTCCCAGTGCAGGTAGATTTTATTTTCGCAAATTTACATATGTAAGGTTCCTGTATCTTTACCACTGATGTGTTTGTATTTCTTCTTTATTATATTTTTATTAGATATGAAGCATCTTTAATTCTAAGGAAAGAATGCCTTAAAGAGCTTATGTTAGGAGAGGTACTTCAGATCTTGAATATGATCATCACTGTCAAGAAATGGATTATAATTCATCGGTCTGGATGGCAGCCGATAACTATTACGCTTAATGAGAGTGGAGATGATACAGGAAGTGTTCCAGAGTTAAAGTAATTTGTTTGGCTTGCAGAAAGTTGGCTGTATGACAAATTACAAATCACAAACATAAAGCCATATTAATGGTTTATTGGATATTATGGTGGGGAATAGGGCACCTCCACTAAAATAACATTAGAGAAAATCATGATGGACGACGATTCTGCAAATCGTGTATGACGTTAGGCTTTATACTGTCTGCACAATTCCATCTTGTGGCTGGAGATCCCTAATCGGGAGCCTCTGCTGGCTTATGTTTTTGATTGCTCTACATAACATATGGTCTGCTCATGGAAGATATGTTCCCTGAAGCTTTCTGTTCTCCCGTTTTTCCTTTTATAAATCCGACGTTGCTAGACTTGTGCATCTGCTCTCTGCTATATTTTGGCGACCAAGATCAAAATCAAGTGGCCCGGAGCTTGGTAACACGGCACACACAGCCGGCGTTTTAATTTCCATTTATTAATATGCACTAGGGTTGGGGACGAACTCTGCATTTTGAGGTGCCTCGATCCGGACCCAATACGTAGGTTTGATAAATCTGCTTGAACGTAATTTCGAGATGTGTTCTACACTTGGTTGCTATGTTGTGTTAACTGAGAACGTCCATTGAGCTCCGTTTGCGCAGTTCCCTGATTTTTTTCTCTCTCTGGTTTTTTATAGTATCTTCTTCTCACAATGATCGGTTATCTAAATGATCTGAATATTTTGAATTGGGGGTATGGTGATTTGCGACTAAAATTCATATATGTAATTATTTAAAGAATTGAGACGTAAATTTGTTTTGAAAGTTTTAACTTATGAGTGTTAAGCACTTAGATATCAAAAAGTTTAAAATCGTAACTTTGCTTTAATTATTAAAAAATTAATATTAACTATTAAAATATTGATTTTAATTGTTAACATTTTTAATGATAAAAAGTTTTATTTCTGGTTTTTAATATGAGAATTAGTTGACTAATTTGAATAAATTAATGAAATTTTTTAAGTTAGTTATTTGTAATAATTGTTTTTTTAAAAAGATTTGTACTAAAATTATCATTTGATTGAACTTTTATCATTTATAACTACTATAACTACTACAAGGATGACTATAAAAAAAAATCATATAATTACATTTAAAATCAAATTAAAAATCAAATTAGTTCTTATATTAAGGACTTAGGTAGTAGTATTATTATGATTTTAAATTTTCAAAGCAAATTTGTGTTCAAAAAAATTTTTGGGTGCCCAAGCGAAACCTTTTAGTGGTAATTTGTACCTTAACTCTTATTTAAATTGATATTTGGAATACATCTTATATAATAAAAAAGTTTGAAATTTAATTGTCATCAAAAAATATTTGTTGCGACTTAAATGTTATTTTTATTATAAAAAAAAAATCTAATATCGTTACTTTTCTTTTTTATTTTGAAGGGAAAGAAATCCTGCACAGCCTTAACGATTGTTTGAGATTGGAAGTGGAGGCAATCTTAGACCCCCAACTTAAAAGGAAAATAAAGCTTCTGTTTTTATGGTAGAGTCATGATCAACTTGTATCAAATTTTTGCTGTTTTCCTTTTTGTTAAGAAATTTGTCCTTACAATTATGGTTTGATTTGGTTAGGCTAATCCCACAAACGCCTTTATTTAGTAATAGTAAAAATTTTGATCACTGTCAACCATAATTTTAAGGATTATCTCGTACCCATCTAATCAATTAATTTGAGTATATAAAAATATTAGTTAAATTAGTTAATATTATATATTTTTCTAAAACACTTTAAGTATCTTTCTTAATTTTTCCTCTCCTCTTACTGAGAAAATATCAATAGGGTTAATTTAGAAAAAATTATTAAACATTTTACACAGATCTTTCATATGTAACCAATATTAACTTTCTAATTAGGTCTTATATTAAATACCAGAAGAATAATAAAAAACTACGCGAATCATGATGAGATGACTGCTCCTCTCCTCTAAACTGTTTTTTTTTCCAAATTTAAACTACCTCTAAACAACTACATTTGACCCTTAAGATACAAACTAAATAACTAATTTGAAAAGATTAAAAAATTTAGTTAAGGTGATTAATTATAATAAATATGCATAGACTTCCTAAATTACCATATCTGGTTATGTGCATTGGAATCTTTTGTAATGAATAAGAATATTTTAGATTATTAAAAAAAAGATGTTTTAGGGAGAAAAAGATACAAATTTAAAAAATAAAATGAATTAAAGTCTTATATTTAAGACCAAACTCAACCCTCCAACTAGTCCTTATATTAAGTGCAGGAGGTAGTATATTGTATTTAGAACAATCTTTAAATTTTTTTTCCCCTCTATCTTTGTCATTCTATTATTGTTTATTAGAAAGAATACCCCTAATCAGAAGGATTAACCTGTATCAGAAGACAAGGCAAGAGACCTTAGTCATTCTGCCTCCAACAAAGTCACTAGCTCCAGGACACCTCTACAAGACACACAAACGTGTAATCCCCGAAAAAGCATGATGGTCTTTGCTAGGCGTCAAGGAAGAAATGGATTGTGCGAAGGGTAGTCTTCCTTTTGCTTTTTGTAAGCCCTGCGAACAGATCAACACTTGTGTAATCTAATATTCTAATTGTATAGGCAAGCAAAATGAGAAATAATCAGCTGTAAGGTTGAGATTGGCAATCACCTTGCAGCATTTACACCTCCAAGTGCAGCCGTTCCCAGAATAAGAAAATAAAGGGTAGTTTAATTAAAGGATGATTTTTCCTCCCTCCAGTAGCCCTTGGGACTCCAGTTCTCACGACTCTTGAATACTCAGCTAAACGACAATCATGTTGCTTTCAAAACATAATCAGGCCAAAAAATAAAAAAAAGGTAATACATACACCTGGAGGAACATGATGATAATTTACCTGAATTTAGAGCATCTCCTCTTCCACCTGTAACAAGCTTTGTATTCAGCACTTTTGGCAGGGCACGCACGCACACAAATACACACACACACATGGAGCGTATAAAATACGAAAGTGATCTTATGTTAGGGTGAGAGGTATTATGAAAAACTAATAATGGACATGTTATATATGTCTTTTCACTATTTTGCTTAATCTTGAACAATTATTTATGATCCCAGACTAACGACTTCCTGGCCAACTTATCTAGCTTTATAACTCAAGGACCTCTATTGTACTCGTTGCAATGTCACCAACAGCAGCAGCTAATAAGACAAAAGGATTATCACCAGGGGGGAAAAAAAAAGACAAAAGGATCAGAATGGAAGAATACATCTTTTTACCGCAGACTACCAGGAAAACAGAAAGCTTTTCAGGAAGCCTGGCAAAAACGATAACAGACTAATCAAATATAGTGAAATAAACCTATGTCTATTAGCTTGGTCAGTAAATGCGGTTTAAGCACATTTGTTGAAATTCCAGCATGAAAAGGCCTAAAAATGGCTGATCCTTTCCCCAATATCAAGGACACGTGCAAAATCATGAGGGGACACAGACAATATAAATGATATTGACCATCATTTTATCCTGAAATCAGAAAATTAACAGTCTAGTAATTTCTGAAACTATCTATCAGCTGGTCCCATTAAACATCTTCAGTAATATTTGTAATCCATTTAGGAGTTCGCAAACCATGTCATCTTGGGATACTTTATACAGTGGGCAGGAGGATTACCAGACAGCAGGCATGCATAAGCTTGGGAAATCTGCAGTGAAACAAAAACTTTTTGTCACTCCCATTAATGTGCCGAATATTATATGCTTCGTGGGTCAATCAGCAGCTGACAGGGATATTATTGTATGTTTCCAAGTCTAACACTTCCGAGTGGAAGATGGTATAAAAATCCTCAGTAAGTAAGTGCTTTCAGCTTTACTAGTACACAGCTACACCAACTTGATGCAAGCTAAAATGAAGGCCAGAGATTTTTTTTTTTTTGGGGGGGGGGGGTGTTGGGTTTGAGTAAAAGAGGGAATAAGCTTTGAATAATGAGGATTGGAAGAGAAAATATACTCTCCGTATGTTGACAGTGTTCAGTGTGAAGTTTCAATCACTAAATAACAAATCATGCCTCAGCATAAATATCCAAGCCGGATACATGATCATCATCTTCATTCAATCACTAAATAACATATCAAGTAATATGTCTCTCCAAAACCAAGCTGGAGTGACTTAAGAGATAATTTACAGCCATAAACCAGCTTTAAGCATCCAGTTCGAACTCTGTCTTCCGCAAGGCTATTGTAACATGTTCATAAAATCTAAATAGAGAAAATCTTAGGTGCAAATTTTAAGAGTTTTCAATCGTTTCTTTTCAACTAATCTTATTGTAACTACATATTAACTATTTCTTACACCTCAGCGCCAAATGACTGGGTCTAAAATTTTCTCGCCATTTGCTTATTGAAAAACCTGATATCAAACGCCCAGGATTTTTGTTATTTCTGGGATAGACAAACACTAAGGAACTTAAGTCTAATCCGTCTAAACATCAGAACTAGCAAGCAGGGATGATGTTACACTGACGTGTATTCCATTAGGAGAAATGAAAGGAAAACCTTCCACATAAACATGCGACGCCAAGAGTTATGATAAGAAACTATGTATCTCACCAGTTTGAACCTGGACTCTGCCTGAGGCTTTTCATGGGCCGGAAACAGATCAGGATGAGCCTCCCATATCTTCTTTTTGTAGGCTGCTTTAACCTAATTAATAAATACTGTCAAAATTAGAACGCCAGCATCAACCTACAAAACATCTGCTTATATGCCAAACACTAGACTAGGACTGAACACTACACTCATGATCGTCATATCGCCCAACCCCGTACGAAAACGAAACTCAAATGAAAGAAGAATTGAACTTAGAATTTGAAATTCAGTTCACTTTTGGGAGTCAATTCGATTTGGCAATCGCTAAAGAAGAACCCAAACCCAAAAGTTCTATGAATTACCTTATCAAAACACAGCACTGAAATTGCTGAGAAAAAGAAGAAGAGGGATGAAAATTAAGGTACCTCAGAGGGCCTAGGGCGTGAATTGGGCGCGAAGCCCAGCACGCGCCTGGCCTCATTGCCCTCCATTTCTCAAGTTCATCCAAAGATTAGCGCCGTCCTTCCCCACGATTTTCTCTGACTTATACGTTGCTAAGAAATACTGACCAGAAACCTCTGGAGGCTCTTCCAACCCCGTGAACTACAGATGAACGGGACGTCCGCCCTTTCCGGACCGATTTTATTTTATTTTTTAATACGAATAATGTAGTTTATCATATAGTTCTGGTTTCTTAATATAAGCATGCAAGAACTTGTTTATCAATTATAAACAAAATCTTATAATTAAGATAAAAAATAGTATTACCTCCAGTTCTAATTATAAGAGCCAATTAACTAATTTAAAAAAATTAAAAAAATAAATTAAGTTAGTTATTTGTAATAAATATATGTTGTCTTTCCTAAAATATCCTTACTAACCAAGTGTGTTGGCTAAAACTATAATTATTATAAGGATTATCTTGAAAAAATTTATATAAATACGAGAGATAAAATGAAATGGAGTCTTATAATTAGAACCAAAATAAAAATCAAACAAGATTTTATATTAAGGACTGGAAATAATACTTTGAAGTGCATTATAGTACAAAGTACCTTTTATGTTAAAGGTAGGAAGAGTACTATATTTTATCTTATAAAATGCTATTACTTCCTGTTTTTAATATAAAGTCTAATTAATTAATTTAAAAAGATTAAAAAAATAATAAATTAATTATTTATAATAAATTATTATAATTTTATTCCTAATCATGTGAAGAATTGCAAGGAACAAAAAACCGGACCAGGCATCAAACCGGTCGAGATAGTGGGTCAAGGGTTACTGGTCGAACCGAGGTTGAACCGGGGTCGGACCGGTCATATTAAAATAATATAATTAATTCATAATATTAAAATAAAACAAAATTCATAAATAATAATCACTAAAAAAAGATGAGAAGCTACAAAAGTAGTAGTTTAAATATTTAATAGTACCAAGCAAACATTAATGAAATGTATATCTTAACTAGGGAAAATCAAAATCATCACTAAGATCATTTGCATGGGCTGAGATGTCAACAGCTGGACAAGGAAAAGCAGGAGCAACAACATCATCTTGTAAAGGTGGAGGGTCAGCAATGTTCATATCTTCATCACCTATATAAGACAGTGACCAACATTAAAGATTATACAAATAACTATATATTGGTATAAGAATAGAGTCTTAATTAAATATATAAACCTTCATTAGCACTCTCAAGAGTTGTTGAATTAGCAGTGCCGTCATTGTTAAGGACGTTTTCCAATGTATCCACATCTCTATCATCAAACTCCGGAGTGGGATCTTCTTCAGCCACCCAAAAATCCACCATATCAATGTTTTCATAGTCAATTGGATCATAACTTTTGCTCTTCTTCAATGTACTCCTTTAATGACAAACAAAATATTAGATAAATATAAATCAATTAAAAAAAAACTAAAGTTATTCACTGTTTCCAAGATTACCTATGCTTCAATCGCAGATTATAATTGGTGAAAACCAAATCATTCAGTCTTTTATGTCCCAATCTGTTTCTTCTTTTCGTATGAATTCTTTCAAATAAGCTCCAATTCCTCTCACAACCAGAAGAAGCAGAAGTTTGACTAAGAATGCGCATTGCAACACGCTGCAATTCTGGAACTGAACAACCATAATATGTCCACCATTCATCTACATAATAAAATATATTTAGTATCCAATACTATATAGAATTAGTGAATAATCATGAATACAATAAATAATAATAATACTTACAGGGGTCTAGTTTTTGAGCAGCTTTTTGACATGAAGGCCTGCTAAAAGATTCCTTGCCTTCGCGATAAGTAGTCGCTTGTTTCATCACTAGGAAGCCATCAATATCTTCATCTGAGTAAGACTCAACCACATCAATCAAAGCCATCATTAACTTTGACTTGCTAGGACAATCTGGACCATATGTAATTGCAGGATTCAACAAATACGATGCCGCATGAAGATTGGTCTTCAGATGTCTATCCCATCGAGTTTGAATGATTCTTGTGTAAGGCTTATACAATTCCTTGTTCTTCTTAAACATCTCCTTAATTGCTATTTTTGCCCTTCTCATCCCCTCATAAACGTAAGGCAATGAAGGCTTCTCATCTGAGTCCACAATTCTCAATAATTTGATGAGAGGAGATACAATCTTCACAACTTGATAACAGTCATTCCAAAACCGGTTATCTAAAATGATTGCACTAAAATTTTTCCCTGCCTCAGTCTTTGATAATCTATGGTCCACAAAATGCTTATCAACAACCAGAGCCTGCAAGTCATTTTTATGCATATATATGCTGTGCAATGTAATAAATGTCGTAGCAAATCTTGTGGCACCAGGACGCACTATTTCTTTCCAACTCGGTCTCCTCCTCAACCATGATAAGAAAACCATATGATTATATGCAAAGATAGTTACCTTGGATGCCTTTGATGCGAGGTCTGACACATTTGGCATGCTGGAAAAGTCTTTTAATATAAGATTCAGACAATGAGCAGCACAAGGTGACCAATAAATATTTTTATACTTTTCTTTAATCAACCTGCCACATGCTACATAGTTAGCTGCATTGTCAGTTACTACATGGACAATATTCTTAGGACCAATCCACTCAATGACTTCACAGAATAGAGTAAATAGAGTTTTGGCATCTTTGACTAAATCTGAAACATCAACAGACTTCACAAACACCATTCCGTGTGTAGAATACACTAAGAAATTTATCAAAGTACGTTGCCTCACATCGGTCCATCCATCAGCCATGAGTGTGCAGCCATTGTTTTTCCATTTAGCTCGATGGCTATCAATTAGTAACTGAAATTCTTTTCTCCAATCACTCAGCAAATTGGTTTTGAAATCATAAGCACTAGGGGCTTTAAACCCAGGCCCAATTGAAGCAATACCATCTACAGCTTTTTGAAATAACGGGCAATCAAATGCTTTAAATGGAATGCAATTCACAATGGCCCACTCAGCAATCAACATTTTTACATTGTGTTTCGCTTCTTTGGTTGCTAATGCACTTTTAATACCCGGTTGAGAATCAGGGGTTGTGCGAGGAGCAAAATAATTATCCATACTCCCTATAGATTTTCTCTTTTTTGCACTACTCATGATAATTGGTGAATCAACATGAGTATCTTCAATTTCCTCTTCTATATTTTCAATGGCTTTTTTCTTTGAACACTCTTTCAAAGATTCTGTCATTCTATGACGTACATCATGCGAAACTTTTTTACAAGAAGATATTTGACCAGTGATACCAGCAAGGTGTTGCTTCATCCTATTTATTCCACCACCTCTATAACTATTACCACAAAAAAGACAGGTGTATACATTTTGTGTCCCTTCTTTCTTATAAGCAACATGTGCCCATGCAGGATCAGTTTTTGCACGCAATGAAGAAATTGGTGTAGGAGGATTGGAAGTTTCAGTGTTGGGAGTGGAAGATTGAGTATTAGGAGTGACATTATCATTTCCAGAACTTTGATTATTTGAAATATCCATCACTGCTACCTCTTGAAAAGAAAACAAAATCCATATAAAATCAATTTAATCCAGAAACAGATGCACTAAGATAGCATATATGCAATGACATTGACATTCAGGAAAACATAATTCAGCTTATTAGTGATTAGTTTTTGACACTTTTGCAAAATCTTTCACTCTTATAAGGCTGAATAAAAATCAAACCAAATCAACTCAAAAGTGTTATATTTGATACAGGCATACAGCTAGTAAGCATCACAGGCCTGAATAAAAATCTAATTCATAACAAAACTAGTAAAACAACGAAGCTGCTGCCTGGAGACCCTATGACATTTAAAGCTAGTAAGCATCACATGCGAATAAGTCAATAAACATCAACATTGCAAACCCATATAAAGAACATATATTAGCCTTGAGGAACCGGGAATGACAGCGGCGGCAAACCCATAAATAACATCATTATCACGAATTCACGATATAATCACAGCAAGACTCATTCAGGATCTCATTTATATATAGTCTATAATCAGTAATCTCAGTAAAACAGCAAAATTCATTCGATAATAAATTACAAACCAAAATGACAGCGGCGGGAATGAGGAACCGGAAAATATTAGCCTTGAGGAACCGGGAATGACAGCGGCGGCAAGGAGACGAGGTCACTACTCACGAGCAGCAGCAAAGTTCGATGCGTATGCCAAAAAGCTTAGAGAGACAGACGAATTAGGAAATAGGATCAGAAATTCAGGGGTTTAGGGGTTTAGAGCATAAAGAGGAACGGGGGAGGCAGTATTGGAACTCATTCTAACCGGAACTTTCAAGTTTAGGAGACTTGCGAGTTGCGAGCTCAGATGGTTGAGGGAGACCGGAGATCAGACTTGCGATGAGGTTGAGGGAGACCGGAGATCTGACTTGCGATGACTCTGGGATTTTGGAGCTCTGCCGAACAAGGAGGTGTGTCGGAGTCTCGGAGACCGTCGTGCCGTCAGTGACTCTAGCAATTTGGTTTCAAGGAGGGAGGCCGGAGGCGAGCTGCTGCGGTGCGATAGTCGGGGAGCTGGAAGAAGTCGAAGAACCGAAGAATCGAGTGTAGATTCAGGGGAAATCAAATAATGGGAACTCGGCGGCAGAGGAGAAACCGAGAAAGGAAGGAAGGAATTTTTTTTTTAATAAAAACGACGTCGTTTAGGTTATATCAGGCAAAAAAAAAAGGGAACCGGGTAACCGCCAAACCGGGTTTACCCGGTTCTGTACCGGTTATGACCGGTTCAACCGGTTTTTTACCGGTTCGGTTCTCCCCCGGTTCAGCTAGTGAACCAGACCGGACTGCAGACCGTTCACCGGTTTTCCGGTCGAACCGGCCGGTCCGGTCCGGTTTTTTTTTCATTGAAGAATTGTTTGAAAAGTAAACACTAAAATTATACGGAACCTGCAGGGAAGCATGGGTGATCGAGTCAACCACCAGAGCTCTGAGGTCAAACTTAGTTTGTCACGTGAATATATATTGCTACATGTATCGTTTGATATGCAATGCATCGTAAGTTTTGCAAGGCAACTTAAGCTTAGCACAACATTTTCTGCTGAGCTCTTTTCTTTTCATTTTTATTTTTTCACCCGGTTATGTCGAGCGTTGTTTTTACGATGCTACTTTTGTGCACCGATAATCCTCTTAGTATAAGGAATTCGCTTGTAAGGCGGCGGCGTTCTGATGATAACAAAAACACTACGTACCCTCTTTTTTAGGCCAACCATTAAGTAGACTTATTAAATACTATTTTCAGTTTTTAATATAAAATAAGAGTTAGTTAATTAATTTAAATATATTAAAAAATTAGTTAAAAACTTTTCAAATTAAAAATGGAGTCAAGAAATGCATTGCATGTAAGAATGAGTAAGTTTTTCAAATTATTCATGTATCGTACCTCTATCACGCACAACATAAAATTTTATAAAAACAACACATTCCTCATAGATCATGGATACTTATTTTAGAATTCATGCAAAGTTATAACATATGTCTCGCAATCTATACATGAAGATAAAAGAATTGCTTTGTCAAAATCTTTGAAGGAATAATTTGAAATTCATGAATCTTGTGAATCTCTAAGAAGCTGTGGTTAGAATGTGATGTGATATTTTTGAATTAAAAATTTATCGTTAGATTGGAGACCGAAAATTTTCATGCCTCTACTTTTATTTCATTTTTTTCCTTTTTCCCTAAAAACTAACCACTTTATACAAGACCTTGTTGCACAAATCCACACGTATCTAAATGACTTGAAAATTACGCGAGCATCCTAATACACAATTAGGACGACATGTATAGCATCTGGATGAAAAAAAAAACGCTAACTATTACCTCCATTTTTAAATATAAGAGCTAAGTAACCAATTTAAAAAGATTAAAAAAATTAGTTAAATTAATTATTTTTAACATATGTTTATTAATTTTTTTAAATTATCCTTGTTTAATTATGTGTATGGGAACTACTCTTGGTTGAAAACATCTAACAATCAATATAAATATTTTAGATAAAACATTATAAATTTAGAAAACAAAATAGATTAAGATTTTATATTTAGAATCAAATTCAACCTTCTAATTAACTCTTATATGTCCGGCCCTCGTAACGCGTGTCTGATTAACTAAGCTCACCTTATAAAAAGAAAAGGGCCAATAAAATGTGTTTGTAATGGGAATTTGTGGAGAGGACCTACATATGTTTGCTATTTTAAGCATTCCAACAGAGATCAGATTAGTAAACTGGACTTCAAACGGTTAAAATTAAACCTTTCGCGGTAGACTTACAACCACAAATCAAGATCTGATAGAAAATGTCAAACTATCTTATTTTAGAAACCTGAACAGTGTATAAAACGCGCAACATGCATGCAGCAAAGTCAATCGATTCACTCGTCTCATCCTCATCAAAATCAATAAACGTACATTCTCTTTTATCATTTTTTTTTTCTCCGATAAGCTTCGATCACTAATAGTGGCCACGAAAAAACAGGCGTCGACCACTCTCGTCGTAGACGTCGGAGGAAAACGAAATAAGAAAAAATAGAAAAACCAAAAGAAAGAAATAAAAATGAATAAGATATTCCTGCCCGGGGTTGCACTTATCCTGGTCGTAGGTTGTGCTGTCGGGACTATTCTTGTCGTCAGACAAAGCAACAGTGGTGGCAGCGGTGGTGATCAGTTGGCCTCCCATAACAAGGCCGTGACGGCGATATGCCAAGGCTCCGACAACCAGAAGGAGTGCGAAGACACTCTGGGGTCCGTCAACTCGTCGGACCCGAAAGAATACATCACGACGGCGGTGGCGAAAGTGATGCAAAAGGTGATAGGTGCCGCTAACATGACCGACAAGCTCGCCGTCGAACATGGCTCCGGCGACAAAGGCGTTAAGATGGCTATTGATGATTGCCAGGACCTGTTGCAGTCAGCCATTGATTCACTCGAGGCTTCAAATGCCATGCTCAAAGGCGACGATATTAGAAGCATCGAGAACAGAACTGACGACGTCAAGAACTGGTTGGCCATGGTGTTATCCTTCCAGCAATCATGCTACGACGGGTTTGAGGCAGGCGGCGGCGAGGAAAAGATAAGAGATACACTGCACACACAGGGTGGCCTGGACGACATACAGAAGCTTACCGGAGTGGCGCTTGATGTTCTCGCCGGCCTCAACAATCTGCTTTCTGCATTCAACTTGGATTTGACAGTGAAGGCTCCGTCTCGTCGTCTCCTGGAAGAAGAAGATCACAGTTGGTTGTCTGAAGCTGATCGCAAGCTCTTGGATGCTGCCAACCCTCAACCCAACGCAGTGGTTGCGAAAGATGGAAGTGGTCAATATAAAACCATCACCGACGCTCTTAATGCATACCCAAAGAACCACCAAGGCAGATTCATCATCTACGTCAAAGCTGGAACTTATAACGAGTACCCTCTCGTTGACAAGAAAAAGCCGAATGTCTACATGTACGGAGACGGCGCTACAAAAACCATCGTCACTGGAAACAGATGCGTGGAGCCCAAGAAGGAATGGAGGACCTTCAACAGTGCCACCTTCGGTAAGTTCTTATCACATAATATGTTTAAGAACTAATGGACAAATTCAATTGTATCTATATCTATCCATCCATCTGTTTGCAGCCATTGTTGGAGACATGTTCATTGCCAAGGGAATAGGATTCGATAACACGGCTGGTTCTATTGGACACCAAGCAGTGGCGGTTCGGACACAAGCAGCCCACGCGGCCTTTTTCCAGTGCGCCTTCCGTGGTTTCCAAGACACCTTGTACGTGCAGGCAGGGATTCAGTTGTTCCGCGAGTGTGAAATCACAGGCACCATCGACTTCATTTTCGGCGCATCCAGAACTCTGATACAGAAATCAAAAATCATTCTGAGGAAGCCAATGGAGAACCAACAGGACATAGTGGTAGCAGACGGCTCCATAAACCCCAAGGCAGGGACTGGGGTTGTGATTCAGAACTGTGACATCTCTGCAGAGCCGGGGCTTGACAAGAACGCGAATCCTTGCTACTTGGCCAGGCCATGGAAGGCCTACTCTAAGGCCATCTTCATGGAAAGCACTCTGGGTGATATTATTCACCCAGATGGATATCTTCCTTGGACTGGGGATATGTACCTAAAAACATGTTACTTCGCTGAGTATGCCAACACTGGACCTGGTTTTAGCCCCAACACCAGGGTCAAGTGGGGTCGAGGCCAGCTTACAAAGGATCAAGCTGCTGCATATACTGCTACCCGATATCTTGAGGGTATGGGCCAGCCATGGTTGGCTGCCACTGGTGTTCCTTTCGATCCCACCTTCACCAAAGCTTAGACAAGTGTCCAAACCTTGTCTCTTATGATGCTAATTAATTATCTAGCTAGTTAGTTCTTTTTTTTTCCCCTCCCCCTTGTCGGGTATTGGCATTGTACGTGGGGAAGAGAGATTGTAGTCGCCACGTGGTAGAACTACTACTGTTGCACCTACAACTGTAAGCTTTTGTTTTTTGTATTTTCGTATTTTAACTCGATACCGTGTATTCTCGGATGGATAAAGTGATCAATCTGAGGTTTCAAAAGGTATTCACTTGCAAATACTTTTCAGTTCTCACGGATAGACCCAACGGGAAATTGGCTTTGGAGCCCACTTTATATATATCAGTCTTTTCTCTGTGAGACCCTATAAATCACCTGGTTATGATGGATTCTCTCCCATATTCTTTCAATCTAACTGGGATAAATTGGGCAAATCTATCTGTCAATTTGTCAAATCTGTGTTTCTCCATCAAGAATCTCTGTCTAGTGCAAATAGAACCTTAATTTCTCTTATTCCTAAGAGAGAGACCCCATAAATTGTTAGCCATTTTCGGTCTATTTCTTTATGCACTGTTCATTATAAATGCTTAACAAAACTTATTATTGGTCGACTTAGAGGATGCATGGATAAGTTGATCTCGCCTTATCAGTCTAGCTTTATTAAGGGAAGGCATATTCAAGATAACATCATTGTAGGACAGGAGATTATGCATTTAATGAAAAGAATTAAGGGCCTGTTTGATGCTCCAAAACCGTGGTTTCAAAAGCACTTTTCCGCAAAACGAGGTAACCTCCTCTACATATTTACTTCGTAATCCGTAAAAGCACTTCTGAAACCATAGTTTGGTTTTTATCCAAACACTCCCTAAAAGAAGAAAAGATCTCATGGCTTGGAAGATTGATTTGGAGAAGGCTTATGATGGAATTAAATGGGACTTCCTCCATCAGGTGCTTAGAGAAACTGGGTTGGAAGAAAATTTGATTAATATCATTATGGAATGTGCACTGTGATTATTAAAAATGAAATAAAATAAAAGGCCGGCAAGTAATGCAAAATGGAATCATGACTCTGATCCCTAAGAAAGAGGAGTTCTGAGAATAATTTGGAGAAGTAACAACAATGATTCCGGCAAAGATACTTCGGCGGAGAATAATTAATCTTTTCATTTATAAATATTAAATAAGGCTACGACCATAAAGTACGTGTCTGGAAAAGGTGCGTCTTCATTCTCACTCCTCAGGATCCCATGATCCGTTTTTGACAAGAAAAAATCCTTTTGCTCGCCCTAGCAAACTCTTTATCGGCTATTTTATTTTCAAAAGCTGAAAACTCGTTACTGTTTATCAAATCAAAGTTCCATTCATGAATTGGGCTGCGTGAGGAGGACGTCAAAGTCGCTGACAGTCCACTCTGCTACTTCATCTTTTTCACTAACATAAATCTCTGTACCCAAATCGACAGAAGTCCATACCCTCTTAGCAGGAGGAGAGCCAGGGTCCTGTACCACCAATATGATATACACATGTATCAAAACAAAAACTTGTCACGAGAATATAGTAAATAGAAATCCCATTACTAACCTGATAGAAGTAGAGGTTACTGGATAATCCACCAACATCAAGCTCCCAAGTTCTTGCATCACCAACCCAGCCATCACCTTTTTTGGCGGGATACCCATAATCAGCCCAAACTGGGTGAGGCAGCAACTGAACTATCTCTTGTGCCTGAGGATTGCTGTAAGGATCACAAATGCTCACAGGTTGCTCCAAGTGTTTGGCACTACCTGGAGCACAATAATAATGATAAGCCGAGTAAGGGTAATTAGCTGTGTCATTTCTATAGATCTTTCTGTTGTCTCGTGTCATGTGGAATGGGGGGCAATTCTTTAACCTCTTGGGGCTACAGGTAGATGGAGTTTCGGGGTTTATGATCATCTCGCTGTATCTAGTTACATCAGTGACCACATCTCCATCGCAAGCAGCTCCATTGTTCTTCCAGCAGCTTCCTATGTCCACCAGGTAAAATTGGCTCTTGGCTCCTCCACCCCTTTTGATGTCTAAACTCACCCTCACCTTAAAATTTGGTGATTCTGGAAGCTGAATCATGAGTCTGTTATAATGTATAGGAGAATAAAACAGAGTATGGTGGATTTGATGAATCTTGCCCAGTTATAAGAAAGTAGAAGTGAAATAAAAGTTATGCATGAGTTTCAAGCGCATCGCGAAATCTTTCATTCAAGTGATGATTTCTATTCTACTGCGTCCTACATGCATTATGTCCATCTCTTCCACACTTTACGAGTTCGAGTAAGTAATAAAGTGGATTCTCGGTGCTAGGTTTATTGAAAAGAAGTCTTTACTTACAGTTTTGAGCATTCCCCTTGTGTCATAATGGTAACCTCCAGAGAATCCTTTGGTTGCGTCGGCTCTTAGGTACAGCATCAACCACGGGTATTTCTCTGAGGTCTGTAGCTTATGTTTGAAAACCCAACTCCCAACATGCACTTTCTTTTCCCAGACTACCTCGTAGTAAGAGAGGCCATTGTGTCCGCCTCCACAGCCAGAATTCAAATCATAGGTACCACTGAAAGCTCCTCGCATGATACCATGTTGGAGCCGTGTCTCCTGATGACACATGATGGGCTGGTTCATACACCCTTTTCCAAAGCAGGGAAACCGTCTAGGCGTTGAAGGTGCTACCTTCTTCCCATTCTCAGGACATAAACCAGACTGTGTGTCATAATTGCCATTTTTCAACATAATCATCCAAAATTGCCATGGTCTTGGGGTGTCTGCGACTTCACAGATAGAACCCAGATATAGTTCCTTTTTCACTGCATAGAGATCTGGGTTGTTTACATCTCTTCCCAACCCATGAAATGGTTTCCCTACTCCAAGTCTGTTATCAACTTCACTAACCTTGTGCTTCAGAGAACCTGTGCATTGTTATCAAATCGAAAGTACTATACTAATGAATGAAACTCTTTTAGTTATTGTTTGTTCGGAGATTTGGCTTACTTGAACTTGAAAGATCGAAACAGTCAGCAGCTCTTGGGCTACCCATGTTAGGGGCTTCTTCTCCGACTTCATTGCAAAAGTTCCAAGCTTCAAAGGCAACCCTCAGCCCATCTCTCTGCATCCCGGGGTCACCCACTGCAGACACATAGTTCTCTGCGACTACAACAGAGATCTTCGACGCAAGCACGCTCAGCAACACGCATAATGTACTCAATTGGATCTCTATCGCTGTTTCCATGGACTCTCTGCCTTAGATGCAAACAGGGCACAGTGGATGCTCTCCTTTATAGAGGCTAACACATTGAAATCTTTTCTCAATAGTCGTAAATTGTGGTCCCATCTCATCTTCACGCCGTTTATTTAGGAAAAGTGAATGAGTGGTTATAGAATATAAGCTTGTTTACAAAAGGAGAGCTGAAATGATTCGCAGTCAAATTATGTCGAGTATATTGCCTTTAATCCCCCTTTTAGCTATGCCAAATCGTCACACCAGCTTTTATTTTCCACGGTAACGTCAACCGCATCAAAGGAGAATCATTGACGTAAGCTGCTTCAATTTTCTTCCGCCTATGCAGGTAGATGTTTTCCCTGTATCGGCCAACTCCAGTTCCGAGGCTACCAAAAAACTGTGTTTGGTGAGCTCTATTTTTAGAGTTGCCCCGTGACTAGGACTTTGTTTGAATAAAGTGAAAAATGGGGGTAAAATAGGGATGAGAGAATATTAGGTAGAAAAGCAAAATATCTTATCATTTTTGGGAGTTTCCCTCTTAATATTCCCTCCTCCATATTTTACTCCTCATTCAAACCCAAGGTAACACAGTGAGCTTGAGAGGCCTTAAAAGGAAGGAACCAATGCCAAATTGTATTTTGCACTGAGAAAGAAAACCTTGCGTCCTAGGACGCAATATTTCAATGCCATAGGCGGGAATTAATGACCATAGAACGTGAATGATGACTAAATTTCATCGGATGAGATTGATCATAATTCGTAATGATCGTTGCCCTGAAGAAGTTCAAGCATGTCCCATACTATATGATTCCCCGTAAAAGGGCAGTTTTCTTCGAGGTTAAGATGTACAGTACTCAAATATTTGCTTGGTTCAGCTCGCAAAGATGGACCATAACAGTGGTTCTCTTTTAAAACTTTACATTCATGTAACAATCCTTTCGTTCACCAAACATTTGGCCGTCTAATGATAGTTCAAGCAAAACAATTTTGAAAGGGAAACGAAGCAATCAGAAACTCCTGCATTTCTACATTCTTCGCAATATCTCACCTTTCAAAATATACATAAATCCTTTTTTTTAATTATTATTTTCAATTTTGCTTCAAGGCTATCAGCAATAATTCGATGATCTCTACGAAACGGTTTCAACTTATCCGTGGGGAAAGGAATACTTGTATGGCATCGTTGAAAGTAAAATCAGCAGTTCTGCGCAAAGAACTGCCTGCCTAGTGAAGAATAGAGGGAAGGAATAAGTATTTGTATATTTCTCTGCTTTTTTTTTTTGGGGGGGGGGGGGTAATACTACATTTAAGTTCTGATATATGCATATTTGGAGGGGGAGAATTGAGGGAAAGATCGAGTAGTTGAAAGTTTCTTTCTCTCTACCTCTAAGAATTGTAAGTTCCTGTACAAAAGTTCGCTACAAATGATTCAGTCACTTGAATCTCCTCCAAAATATGGAAGACCCCAACCCAAATCACATACGTCTGCAAACTTTACTCTGCAGAGAGGATTTTCCGGGGTCTCAACCTCGGTTCTTGGTTGGGCAATGCAGCGAACACATAATACACTATTAACTGGTCTGTCTTGTCTGTCATGACCGACCCTCTAGGAGATGAGGCAGCGTTATCTTTCCAGAATTAGTGGAATCAAGCTTGTTGAACTGGTCACAGATTTGCAATATATCCTTTTCCCTTATCTTCCCCATCTCTTTGAGCTTGAATATTACATACTCTGACTTACTGAATCATAGCAAATGGAATGGAAATTCCAAGTAAGAAAAATATCCCTTGCCAAAATAAGTTATTAATTGACCATTTGAAATAACAGTGACATCCCTTAGTTGCACCATTTTGCCTCAGACGGAACTAATACAACCCATCCTTTTTCATAGAATCTCGATTTAAAGAACTCAACAATAAATCTGAAAACTAAAGCGTAGGCATCACAACATGAAAGGCGGCAGCAGACAACCGTACAGCCTATATGAACACTAATGACCAAAGGTCAATGCAATGTTTATCCTATTCATGACACACAACTCCTACGAATGTACACATGACATCAGGAATTATTTTCAGCTAAGAGTCATAAACGAAATTGCTACTACAAATCCTGTTGCACATACCACACCTGCGTCAGTATCAATACTAGTATTAGTTCTTAGAGAACGGAAAAAAGTTACCTAATAAAGCCAGTGTTATTGATGGTGGCAGCCAGCAAATCTTCAACAGTCATATCTCTATGCAACGCCGACTTGGCTATTCTCCGGTGCCTTCTATCAATTCTGGCCTCTGCCAAATACAGGAAGGCCCGGGCCACCATCAGTGTGGAAACGAGGAGCCAGATAGCAGCAAAGAGCCTGCCGGGAAGGGTCTTGAAGGCTCTGTCCCCATACCCCACTGTTGTTACAGACATAACGGATAAGTAAATTGAATCAATCCAATTCAAGTCCTCCACAAAGTACAGAACCAGACTCCCTATTCCAATACACAACACCACCACGCCCAGAGCCAAACCAACCTTCAATCTGATTCTCATCCGCCCCTTTGCCACATCAACTATGTAATTTCTTGCAGAGAACCCTTCGTGAGATCTTTGAGTTTGAGCACCCATTACAAGCCCAGTTAGAATCGTGTTCTCTTGCAAATCTAGCACGTAATGAACAAGCCCGCTAAGCAATATGTCAATGAAGCCAAAACCTACCAATACAAAGAAACAGGCAAAGACCTTGGTTACTGAGGTTGTCGGTGTGATGTCTCCGTAACCGATTGTGCACATGGTGACTATACAAAAGTAAAGCGCATCAACAACTGGGTGAGTCTCTGCGCCAGAAAAATGGTCCCGATTGAAGGAGTATATGACAACCCCGACTGAAAGATATATCACAAGCAAGCAAACGCCTTGCCTGATGATTGAGCTAGACTGGGGTTTAGGAACATCGGATAATTTTCGTCTGAAATCCTTAAAAACAACCATGGCAGGAGCAGTCTTGCAGCGAGTAAGTTTCTTCTTGGGCGCATTCTGAGTCAATAATTGAGATGAGGCTTGTGGGTCTCGCTGGGGTTCCTGTAAAGCGATAAATTCGTTGAAGGAATAAGAGCTAGCAAGGGATAAATCAGGAACTCGATGCTCGGTGATGGGTTCAAATTGGGTCCTTGTTTGCAAGGAAAGAAAAGATTCATCTTCCATAAGGGAAAAGAAAAAACAGCATAAAAAATTTAGGGAATTGTGTGAGTGGACGAGATGAGATTGTTGCGGCGGAAAGCGGAAACTTGCGAGTAATTTATTTCCTTGAAATCTCAGCGACCCATTGAGTGAGAAGAGAGGCGTCGCATGGGGCTTGGGTAGGACCTGCGCCAGGTAGGACTGAAAGAGACTGCTCATGAAATCAGTTTGACAAATCTTTTGTTTAACCTCATACTTCGACGTGCCCTGTCATTCAGGGAAAAAAAAAAACATGATTTTCTTTTTCTTGCTTTGTCCGAATGGGAATTGGAAAAAAAAATCGTCTAACACAAGTTTCTTTTCCTATATTATTATAGTAGATAGATTCCTTGGACTGTAAAAAGAACAATGATTAACGTGGAACATTAAGCGTGGCTATTGAAGAGTGTTTTTTACCCCGTAATAAAAGATCGGAGGCCGTTCGTTCTGATTCAGACTGATCTCAGGAAAGCAGCCAGTGCTAACCAACTTCAAGGGCCCCCTCGAATTCTAAAATAAAATAATGCGCTTCTTTGTATTTTATCGTGCTGAATTATTGATAGGGTGACACGACTGTTTTGGCGGATCAAGGCACACTTCTTCCATTCTTTATGGAAAAAAGGCACACTGAGCGGTAAGAAGTGTATGTTTCATTTGAGAATTATTTAAGCAAAAAAAATAGAAACGAAATTAATATATTACTGCCATTTTTAAATGATTCTTTTTCTTTAGCTTCCTGCCACGAGGGTTTATTTAAAAAATTTTGATCGGTTGTTCCGTCCATTGTGTTGACAAATTTATTGTTTTCTCGGTCTTAATTTATGTACCCTCACTGACAGCAGTTCCAACAAGTTTTTCAACTTAACTGCAGATAGCGTTTTCATTTTTGTGTTTTATTAGTTGCAGTATTTACACCTTTTTATGATGCTGAATTAAAATGCTTATTTATTCATATAAAGTTAATAGATTAATACAATTTTTTGTCTCCTTAAATTTATTCTTATTTTGATTTTAGTCTGTCAAGTTTTTTTCCGTTTAAAATATTAATCTCTATAATTTAAGTATTATGAAAAAATGTTATAATTTAATAAAAATCTGGGTAATTGTGTCCAATAAAGAACCAAAACATATAATTTAAATTTTAAGAGACTACAGTTAAAATTTATGCAAATTTTAGAAACCAAATATCATATTAATTCAAAGTTAAAGTTACAGTGAGAAGGAATGTTAACAGTCCTGAGCGCGACTTTACAGTGAGATGTGAGATTCTTCGCATGTTACTGTAACTTTCAAACAACTTATCAGTTAATTTTCAACGCGTTTCATTAAAAATTAGATTTCGTTCGAGTTACTCGGAGACCATTGTCAGGCCTGGATGGCCATGTCGCAAAAAGCCCGAAAGAAAAACATCTGGTCTGGTTAATTTTTGTTCCCTGTTTAGAGGGCAATGTGCAAATTAATTGTGAATTGCTCTTGAATTGGGAAAGTTAGGTTACACAATTAATTTGGACAATTAAACCAGTTAATTTCTCACATTTTCGATTAAAGTTTGAAAAGGTGGGTTTCGAAATTACTAAAAAACCACAGTTAAATTTGGGAAGTTAGGTTGCAAATAAAATATAATCAATGTTTTTTAAGGATAATTTTATCACTTGACTTAATTTTGTATGACATGAGGAATTTTGCGACTTTATAACATTAATCCAGTTATAATTCAATTCTAGACCTACCTGTTACTCCATTAAATTTCATCTTTCTGTTTATCCATTCCACGGATGCAGTTGTTTCATTGCATCGCTGATTCCCCCCCACCCCTTTTGTGAAACCTTTTTTCTACACGGAATTTTTTTTCCAAACTGATCAATTAGTCTTTGTCGCTTCACTTAAAAAAATTATAATTTGAGATGAACAAATCATAATCGTTCAATTATAATCCCCAAAGCATGTCTTGGCTTTGTTTTTGAACGTTGGCAAAAAAAAAAAACCTTCTTTTTTTTTAATGGATTCTTATTTTCCATAAAAATAAAGACAATAAAACTTGGGGATTGAGAAGTGATAGGGTTTAGATCCCCTTTTTCGGTATCAAACCATTGAGAAAAACAAAGCAGAACGTCTCAAATTCTCAGCTGACAAAATAAAAAATTACATTTAATTTTATACGCTGTTGTGTTAGATTCTGGGTTTAATTGTATCAAGTTGCACAGCGCATTGACGCAATCTCCCATTTAAAACCTGAGGCATAATTATCCAAATGACGTTGACAGGAAAAATTCATACTCTGAAATCTGAATTGAGGGTTTAAAAAAAAAAAAAAGTCTCAGCAATGGCAAGATCTCTAGGCAGACATCTATAAAACAAGCGTCTCTTCAAAGTATATCCAGTGCAACGGGGCATTTAATATCAGTGCAACGGGGCATTCAAAGTAAATGGCATTTAATTATTAAAAGTTAATTTAATCGTAGCATATAAAGTAATAACGGCATTAAACGCGAGATCAACATGGGAATTTATTTAGCGTCAGATCAAATAAAATTATAAAAGTTCTGGTGGTCCTCATGAGTTTATTTTGGCGTTTCTCTTTAGAGATATATATGTCAAGGAAAAAAAGTTCTGTCCCAAAAAAAAAAAACCTGAAACAAGAGACGAAAGATGTGGACTCGAAATGCGAAATATTGAAATGAGTAATATTTTTTATCAAATAAAAATTCACTTTGATATTTCTCACCTTTATTTAAAGCAATAGAATAATAATACTTATTATTATTTTGTTAGGCATTGACATCACTCTTTTTTGCCATACCCAACTCATTGTTGGTAATAACATACTATTATCTCTGGTCCTAATATAAGAGTTGTTTTGACATTTGATTTAATAATAGATATAAGATTTGAATTTATTTTTCTCTTATATTAATCTATTTTTTCTAAAGATAGTTCTTGTAGTAGTTGCACATGTTAAAAGTTTCATCAAATGGTAATTCTAGTTAATACATATGATTAACAAAGATATTTTGGAGAAAACGACACTTCTTTATCATGAATAACTAATTTGACTAATTTTTTAATCAATTCAAGTTAGTCAACAAACTTTATATTAAGGAGGAGAGGTGGTGATAATTAAGCAATGGTACATGAAAATAAACTAAAAGAGAATTTCACCCATCCCTTGCCACTTGAGATTGGGTCACACGAAGATGTCATATGAAACTAGTTTTAGTGTTTATCATAGTGATGAGTATCATGATACTCATCAAAAATTTTAAATATTCAGATTTAATATGGATAGCTGAGATTTAATACTTGGTATTTTTGTTTTTAAAAAAATATTTCTAATAGGTACATAATTTAAAATAAATATAATATCTTAACTATAGGTTTTTTGAAAAAATAATTTTTTATTTAAAAATCACTAGTTAAAAATTTTAAATTTAAATTATTAAAATTATATCCTAATAATTTTGTGATAAGTAACATAATAGTCATTATTGTGATAAATATCAAAACTAGTTCTAAGTCTCATAAATTGTGATAAATATCAAAACTAGTTCTAAGTCACATATACCAAACAAAATTGATAAGGCGCCGAGCCCGGCCCAGAAGCTGGCCATAACACAACCACACACGTCCTTTCTTTTGCCATCGACGTATACCCGGCATATACTCTGAATATGACATGTCCCTCAATTATTCTTCTATAATATTCATACATATCGACAAGCGACTCGAGCTAATAATGATTGTGTTCATCCCTTCCTGGTCCCGTTAGCGGATCAACATATTCATGCCATACCTCCTCCTCCTCCATTGTTTCTCCCACGTCGTGTTCCTATTTTTAGAAAATAAAGTCACTTCCACAAAAATGCTTAGCCAGTCGGCAGCCAAAATGGTGTTTTTGTCCTCTGAACCTTACTGCTATTTTCTTCTGATGACGCCACAATATTTCTGGTTTATATGCAGACTACACGACACGCAACAGACTTGTTCCTTGTAATTTCTTACACACTCTCTTGCTTTCTCGTTTAAATTACGGTACCTACAGCTTATAGGATGTGAATGAAATTAACCTTGTGGACGCGTTTTGTCAGCATAAACCTTTTCTTTTCTTTTTTTCCCGTTGCCTCAGCACTTTTTAGTTTCTCGTTCCAAATTTAGTGAATGTTAAGCAATGCCTGAGAGATAATTTAAGGGGATAGTCTTTAAGGAGTAAGAAGGTTGCTGCTAAACAATGAGCATTCTTACGCGACACAAAAAAGCAAACGCATTGTTTAATGTACAGCACTATACTTGGCGGGCCAGTTCAATTTCCATACCAACCAAGTTGAGACTTAAAGGCCAAGAAGCCCAAAACACATATTCAATAGATATCCTCCTATAAAGACGAAGGCCCACTCACATTTCTCACTGCATCTCTTCCAATTTTAGCCATTCTCTTGACTGCCGTCTCTACTTGAGACCCAGCATTTGCAATTCCAATGGCTCTGCCCGTGATCAGAACCACGCGTGGTGTAGTGAAACCAGCAGAGCAGAAGCCATCAATTACACTGGACCTATCAGCCATCGATAGATTACCTGTTCTAAGGTGCAATGCTCGAACCTTGCACGTGTTCAGATATGGTCCTGACGCGTCGTCGGTCATCAGGAAGGCCTTGTCCAGGGCATTAGTTTCTTACTACCCTCTTGCAGGAAGACTCATTCAGTCTGAACACGGTCCCCTCCAAATTGAATGCTCCGGTGAAGGCGTGTGGTTCGTTGAGGCGTCGGCTTCTTGCACTCTTGCCTCAGTCAATTACTTCGACGACGTTGAATCTATCCCCTACGATGATCTTCTTCCCGACCCTGAGACTGAAGGCATCGACCCCCTCGTGAAAATGCAGGTACAGATTACTAGGAACTTTCTGCTCTGGACGTCGAATTCAAGCCTGAGAGTTTTCATTAAATGATTATGTCTGGCAATTAATATATTTTTCAGGTGACGCATTTTCGTTGCGGGGGATTTGTGATGGGCCTAATATTCTGCCACAGCGTATGTGATGGTCTCGGTGCTGCGCAATTTTTGAAAGCCATTGGTGAGGTA